CCGGCGAGAGGAGCAGTTCCCTGGGTGACCTGAAGGTTTCCGCTAAGGTCTCCCAAATCCTGTCACATCATGGAGAGGGCCGGGAACGGGGGTGGGGTGAGGGGATGAGAAAGTCCCCCCACCCGTCTCCCCACCTCGCCGTTCCCAAAAGGGCTTTGCCAAACATTCTTGGAATTGCTTAGCTTCTGGGCTTTCCAGAAAACAGTCCGCCGTCTTCAGGATTCTGTAGCGCGGGTGAAGGTTTATCTCCCTAGTGGACCTCAGACAGAACGCGTCTCTCCCGCTCGCTTTCTTTCACTCTCTCTCTCTTTATTTTTTTTTAATTCCAAGCTTCCTTCCCTTTCTCATTTGTAAGATTTTCTCCCCCGTCCCCTTCGTTCTTCCTTTCCTTCCTTCTCTTCTGCTCTTTCTTTCCTGTCTTTTTTCCCCACTCCCTCTTTCTCTTTTATTCTTCCTCTTCTTTTTTTCTTAGAGCAATAGGATGTCAAGATCTGTAATCAAACTACCCACTTCCACCTCCTGACTCCAGGGGATCTCATAACGGTGTGCACCTGGTGGGCTGAGGCGGAGAGGGAGAGAGACAGAAAAATAAGCTAAAGTGTGTCTGTTCAGCCTGCTCAAAATAGCTGTAATGTGAATGGACACTTGTAAATTGAATAAGGCCAAGCAGCATATACCATTTCACTTCAGACACTTCGATTACTTTTCCAAGGGTTAAAAAGAAAAAAAGGAAATGTCTTTTTTGCATAGCGCAATTCCTTTAAGGAAGCTGTCTTTATCAGCTGTAACTCTCCAGGAGTTCAGAAGAACTGAAATCCAGCCCTTTATGTCTTTCAGAGTTTTAAAAATTCAGTTATTCAAAGCCAAGCATGTAAAGAGCTTTAACGTTGATCCCTTAGCTCCTTAGAGTCACATACATAATTGCAAACACACACTCTGAAGAATTCATACCGAAATACACAACTGGGTGTTCTTGAACTTACAATGATCTGTTTTTAACATCAAAATGACTCACTGCTTGAGAGGAGTCCCTTTGCACTAACAAATTTTATATCCTTTTCATAGTAGAGAAAGCTAAAAAAAAAAAAAGTCAAGGTAATGCATGCTAATAAAATAATAAGTGGAATACAATGGAGAGAGAGTTCACGAAAGTTAAGCAATTTTTAAGTAGATCAACACAGAGAAACCTAAAGGACAGACTTTAAAAGTACTAGCCATATCTCGGACTTTACTCTGTGCGTATTGCAGACGCTGCTTGGTTCTTGCAATCCTAAAATTTGGGTGTAGTGACTCTACAAAAGAGTGGAAGGAGCTTGGCTAACACCTTGGGAAGCTTCTCAAAGGGAATTTGTGCTCAGTTCATTTTGACTCCAATGCTGAGTTACTATTATCCTCATTTTCAGAAAATTGGTGCAGAAAAAAGTGGTTTATTCAAATTGATTTCATGAGAAATCTAAATCGTCTAACTCTCCAGCACTTAATTCTTACTACTTTTCAACTACCTTGCCAAAATGTAATTTCAGCCTTACATAATCAACAGTGAATTAAAATGAGTTAGAAAAATATTTTCTTTTTTTCATGTAGCCGGTTACCACTTTCTTCGATGGAGCCAAGTGCAGTGAAAGTTTGATACGGTGAGGCCAGCAGGAGGCATAGTAGTTAAGGCACTGACTCCCATGGGGCCAACAAGATTTGAGTCCCAGATCCAGAGACTTGAAACTCACACTCTGTGCTGGCTTTCCCAAGATCCCAGGAGGAGAATGGAGGAGAAAGGATTATGTCATGGCCATTTGACTTTCTTTCTCTCTGTCTTTCCAGAGAGCACATACACCTGATAGCAAAAATCTCTCAAAAACACACAAGAAGAGTTTAATGAGCCGGCAGGTGGCATGGTGGATAAGGCACTGGATTGCCTCATGGCCAACGGCTGTTTGAGTACCAGACCTGGCAACTTGCTTCCTCACTCCCTCCCAACCTCCATCTCTCTCTGGTCAAATTAATAATGAATAAATAAATACATATATAAATACAATAAGTAAATAATTATTTTTAAAAGTTTAATACTTTTTTCCTGATGAACACAATAATAAATATTGACAATAGGCATGGCTTGGCCACACTCATCCCAAAATTCATGTATCAACAGATCTGAGAGTAGGAACCATATATTGGACTCTCCTCCCCGCCCCCACTTCACCCTTTCTCCCTAAGACCTAGCAACAGGTCCAGCTGAATCTCCGGAACATCTTGTGACCATTACCTTCAACTCCTGGAATTGGCCTAGGGCCAGGGTCATTCTAGAGGTCTGTGCATGCCTCCCACATTCACATCACTAGATCAGGAGCACTAGACCCTAAGCATGCTCTGCTCATTTTGTTCATGAATAAACCAACCTTTACTGCAACCTTTAAGCAATGCATGTACAAACCAGACTCCTATCTTAGTAACAGGAAGTCTGCACTGATCTTTAATTGATTTATGAATACTTTATTCTTACTGTATAAAATCTGGACACAGGACCCATTCTCCACCTTGCCATCAGCAGGACCTTGTTTCCATAATGTGAATAACCTCATGTCTTCTTCTGCTGGACCTCCTGGTGTGTTTTTTGGGATCGGTAAACATTAATGGCAAGCCCTCTCAGATTTGGGACTCCCCCAAGACAAGATCTGACCTTAATCTTCCTATTCCAGCTTTTCAAGTTCAGTTCTGTTTTGCAATTTGTACACAAAAAATTTGAACAGAAAAAGTTCCTTTGGAAGCAATAGTATATCCTTGAAGTTCAGGAATATTTTAATTTTTTAAGATCGTCCGATTTGTTTACAGTGGTTCTAAACTTGGAGCTGAAGACATAATTGATTTAATTTTTTAAAATGGAAGGGTCATTGATGAAAACCTTCTAGTATGAAAATATGTCACAATTTTATTTTGATCCCACTGCAAAAGGAAAGAAAAAACAATTCCAATCTTCACTTTTGGTGGGGGTATTTTACAGGAGAAAGAATGGATTTTGGCCCCAGCACTTGGTGATTAAGGCAGCCATTCCCACATGATCAACCACATGGTTTGAATCTGGACTTGTGCAGCTGAAAAGCACACCAATGTGTGTGTCTCTGTGTGTGTGTGTTGCATGCACCCCAAATTCTGACAAGATGGAGATATGAAGAAGGGATCATCATGTGACCATACCCCTTTTGGCACAGGCTAGAGGAGATGCTGTCTACTTTCCCTTTCTCTCTGCGATTTAAGTTACTTTTAGATTTTTTCAGCTGATAATATGGGTAAGTAACAAGTTTGTTGCAAGTGATATTAAAGTTCATTGGAAACTTAAGAGTTTTATCCACTAGAAACTTAAGAGTTTTATCAAGAATGCTAATCTCTTCTCAGAAGGAGGGTATGTAAGTTTGAGATCATTTCTCTTTCTTCTTTTTTTTTTTTTTTTGAGAGATTTTCACTGTAGGGCGCGTGCGCTCGCCAGACAGACAGAGAGAGACATAGAGACAGAAAGCGAGAAATCACCCCCCAGGGGGGATGGTCACGCCGCAATCCCTTCTCCTCCATTCTCCTCTCGGGATCTTGGGCACGCACGCACACGCGCCTGGCGTGAGTTTTAAGCCACCGGGTCCGGGACACGAACCACGGTCGACTATGTGAGAGTCCAGCGACTTAGCCATTACGCTAACTGCTGGTTCCCTCTTTTTTCTTTTAAAGAATATTTTATTTACTTTTATTTATTAATTCATTTTTTTAAATTTAACCAGAGAGGGACAGAGTGAGAGAGACAGAGAGACAGAGAGGGAAAGTGAGAAAGCCAGCCATCAGGTCAAGGACTCGAACCATGGTCAGCCATGTGAGAGTCTAGCACCCTTAACCACCATGCCACCTGCCAGCCCCGATAATTTCTCTTTTAAGGGCTCTAATAAAGAGTGCTTTAGTAAGTGAACTTGGAAACACAGATTGTACAAGGTCACTCAGTTTAGTCCATTGTAGGACTGGAGAGAAAGTCACCCTTCCAATGGACATGCACAAATTTTTAAGGGTGGAATGCATTAGTTTCAGCAATACAGTCAGTCCCTGACTGTAACAATTAAAATGCTTGATAAACTTGTTTTTTTAAAAAAAAAAAAAAAATTAGGTCTTTGTCATAGGGCATGTGTGTTCACCAGAGATACAGATACAGAGACAGAGACAGTAAAAGGAAAACTAAGAAATCATGCCCCAGGGGAGAGGGCCACACTGCAATCCCTTCTCCTCCACTCTCCTAAGATTTTAGGCGCCCATGTACACATGCCCAGCATGGTTTTCAATCTGCTGGGTCCAGAACCCAAACTGTGGTTGGCCATGTGGGAATCAGCATCTTAACCACCACACCATTTGCTGACCCTTATATACTATTGTTTCATAGGCCTTTACATGAGCTATCCAAAAAGTGAAGGAAAACCTTAGAAGTC